AGGGCAGAGGCAAGGACTGTGTTGAAAGGAGCCCTGGCTGGGCTTTGCACCCGACTGCAGCTGCCCTGGGAGCGGCTCAACACCACATGACTGCCACTGGTAGACTGCACTGCACCCCCTGCCCCCACGGCGGTGGGATGCACGTGGTGTTGTGCAGGTCTGGAGGCAGCAACAGCTGCTGTGGGGTGCAAAGTGCAACCTACAGCAGCAGCTGTCTCCACCCTGCGCACAGATTCGGGGAAGGGCATGTGCCCCCAGGGCCTCTGCTGGCGTGCACACAGCAGCAGGAGCCCCCTCGCACACCTGGACAAGCTGCCTGGGCTCCGATTGTTGCACCGCCCGTCCAGGATCCCATTCACCCCAGCCCCTGTCTCTTCCTCTGCTCTGCTCCCTCCCTCACCGTGGGGGCCTCAATCTGCCCCCCCACCCCTTCCCCCACAGACTTAGTTGCAGAAGTGGGGGGAGTACACATGCACAGTCTGCCTCCTCCCAAATAATACATATGTTCTGGTTGTGACTGTTGTTAGGTGAGTTCTTACTTCCTGAGCATAGTAATAGAAGGATTCATTTACCAAAGTTTTTCTTTTTCTTCCCCCCCCCAGCTCCTCCCAAAGGGTTCAAGTAAGGACCACGTGACCCATTCTCTTTTTCACTACAGGTTTCCCTCGATTTATGCTGTACATGTGTTCCTGGAGAATGGCGCATAAATCAAATTTGCATAAAGTGAACCCACTTTACAATGTAACAAATAGGGATAGGTTCCCATGGCAGTGTGGGAGTGAGGCTGGGACTAGGGAAGGGGCAGGGGGAGGAGTCCCGCTCCCAGGGCTGCACAAGGCAGCAAAGCAGAGGGAACAGAGCGTCACTCACCCCAGTCCCTGCTGCAGCAGCTCCGGGAGCAGCTGGCGCCAGCTGCCTGCAGCCACTGGGCTGCACTGTGTTTCCACCTGTCCCCACTCATCTCTGCTCCTGGGCTGTGTGGTGCCCTGGTGCAGGCAGCTGGTGTCGGCTCCTCCCGGGCTGCTGCAGCCAGGGCTGGGGTGAGTGGGGCTCTTTCCCCTTTCCCCACAGACTTACTTGCTTGGGTAGGGGGGCATCTATGCTGATTGCATGAGTGAATTTACCTGCGTATAACGAATTATGGGTCTAAATATTCTCATTGCATTAGAGCTAATTTGCATATAAAGAACCCACATAAACCGGGGGAAGCGTGTACATTGTAAGCTTGTCCAAAGGGCATTTTTATTGTTTAGGGTTTTTCTTTTTCTTTTCTTTTCTTTAGTGTTTAATACCTTGCTTGGGTACTGTGAGTGGGAAGCCCAACTGAATGGCCTTAAAGGGGTCTCAAACTCTGTTTTCCTACCAGAAGTTCTTTCCTGGTGATTTCCTACCAGAAGTTCTTCTTTGTGCATGCCAAAAAATAAAAAATCAGGTGTCACTACTGTCAGAATGACACAAGGGGGAGAATGGGGCTGGGTGGGAGGCATGCCAGTAAGCTCACCTAAGACTGTGAGAGCCTAGGAGTGAGGCTGGATACAGCCTACTCCCACGCCAAGCAGCAGCTATATTACATTTTATTTTGGGGTTTTGTTTTGTTTTGTTTTATCTGACACGCACAGAAAATGTGCATGTGGTTATTTTCCTGATAGCAGCAGGGAGAAGGTATAGGCATACCTTCTCGTGGTGGAAGTAGTGTAGCTGCTGCAGGAACACGGAGCCTCTAGCAGACTAATTTACCTTGCTTATCAGTGATCTCCCTCTTAGACTGTTTCTGGTATTCTACAGTTGGCTCAGACCTGCCTTGCTGCAATAAGTGACAACTTTTGCAAGCTGCCTTTGTTCTTGGGCCAGGGGTACAAATGAATTTTCTGGTTACAAGTTCAGGAAATGGCCACAGATGCCATAATAGTCCCTCCTCATCTGGATATATTTATAAAGTACCTGTTTCCCCATTTTTTTTTCTCTTGATAGTGCCTCAGATTGCAAATATAGATCATTATGCATCAAATAAAATAATTATATGTAAATAGCAAATTGCAATTAATATATAGACCAAAGACATTTTCATGCACCCAAACCTTTAAAGGGCCCACAGAGAACCCAGCACTGGACAGTCAGTCCCCAGTGCTGGACTGCCCATGCACCTTTTAATCTTGCTGCTGAGCCGCACACTGATGCTGGGCTCCCTGTGCATTGGAAAGTTTAAATGGCCTTGCAGGTGGCCCAGCACCAGGGAGCTGGTTTCCAGTGTGGGACTCCCCACATACTGACAAGTTTAAAGGAATTGGGGGCAGCTCCTGAGTCTGGGCTCTGCACAGGGTGGCCATTAGTCCGGTTTTATATTGGACCATCTTGTTTTTCAACCCTTTTCCCCCTGCCTGTTTCTGAATGAGAAACAGACTGCAAAAAGTCCTGTTTTTCAGTTCATTGGCGGAAATACATGTCCATCATTTGTCCTCATGATTCAATTAGCTGTGCCTAGAGGTAGGATGGTGCACAGCCAGGAGGGGCAGGGTTCCAAGCCAGTCTGGAAGGGAAGGAGGTGGCCTTTTTATGGTGGTCCCACCCCTTGCTGCTGACTGGCAAGAGGACCCAGTGGCCCCACCCCTCACTGCTGATCGGCTGAAGTGGTGGCAGCATCCTTCACCAAGGGGATGTCCTGTATTCTGGGGATGCATCAGTGGCCATCTTAGTTCCCCACGTGCCCTTTAAATGAACATGCCACACATTCAAATTAAAGTGCAATACGAATCAGCCACAAAGATATTCCACGTGTAATAAGTAACATCTTTGTGACTGGTTTGCCATTTGTATCACAAGATAGATTTCTTGAACATGCAGCCTGCTACAATGTACAGTACTATTAACACAATTGCACAATAAATATTATTTTAGAGGGGGACCACAGTCGTGTCCTTTTGTCTTTTAGAAGCACTGTCTCCAGCATCTTCAAGGAAGTAAAGTGCAAGTGCTTTTATTATCTGTTTATTTCTTGAGTCAAATAACCAAGGTGGCATTCAAAACTAGTCTCAATGTGGGAAGTGTATGCATCTCCATCAGTGATTTAAAGAGTGCTCATTACACTTGCTACTTCCTATGGGAGCTACAAAACAGCCTTTTGAGGCCATGTGGCAATAATTGTCTCTGTTCTCCACTCATAAGTCTTACAACAATGGGTGTTAATGCAAGAGAGAGGCATTGGTAGAGTCTTCTGTGATAGACTTTGTTTAGCCCTTCATAAGGAATTTTTCCTCCCCTTACTCCATAAACCTGCTGTACAATAAAGCCAGTTTATATTCTTACCAGTGAAGCTCATAGGCACTTTAATTTCAGTTGTAATTGCTGTCATGGCTGTCTCTTCTATTTTTTTCCCCTCTTAACTTTGTGTGCTCATGCAGACCTTTTGTGGAATGGCAGCCGTTAGGATTATGTCTGTTTGCCTTGTGTCCTTGGTAGCAAAGAATTCCCGACAATGAAAGGGGGACTCTTCCTGCTGTGAGCAACGTGCTCATTGAGCAAAACTTTGATCCCCATCCAGACACACATTCTTTGTAAATAGGAGGGGGGAACAGTTACAAACCAAATCTCAAACACATATTTTGCTCATTTTGAGCTGGATGCATAAAAATACTTAATCGAACAGATTATTTTTTCCTGATTGTTGGGGCTTCAAGTCCTTGATCTGAAACTGAGCTGAGCTGAGATTATAGATTAATACAGAGCAGGGAACTCACTCATCCCACATTCACCCTATAACCCATCTTCTCTCTCTACAATTCCCACAAAAATCTCAGGCTCAAAGAATATCAGGTCCCTATTTTGAATATGTTCACTCTGTAAGTATTGGGATGGGCCCTGCTCACTTTCTATATTCTAGATACAGCCTGAAACATACCTCTTCCAACTAGATATGGTAGTGCCTACAGTGTAATATAAAGACAAAGTTAAAGGTACTTAAGAAATCCTAAATCACATTAATGGGAATTTCCTAGCATTCTAATATTTTTCTTATTAAATTATATTGTTCTAATAAGATTGAAAAGATATGATGAAGGTTTCATTACTAGCTTACTGGCTATTTGTTTGATGGTCTAAGATTCTTTTTTTGGTGGTCTGAGGATTTATCTGTGACATCTTGATATTCCAACAGAATTTCTCTGGTAAAAAAATTGCCATGTGCATTAGTTCCATAGGCACACTCCTGAAACTTTGGGTCTTTTGTATACTTTACAAAATCTGTTGGTGTCAGTGGCTTGAAGAAGCTTTGCATCGTGTGGAGCTATTACCATGTGTGCTAGGAAACTACCAAGGCTCCTTTCAGCAACTTGCAGCATCCTGTCTGTAGAAACAATAAGATTAGGGCAGCTAGGAATGCCTTAAAGCAGGCATTGTTGCACGTACACTATTTCCAGACTGGGCAGAAACATTTCTTGATAAGAGTTTTCCACTTTAACTCCCATTTAAAGAAGTTTTTTTTGCTTTGTTTAGACACAGTAATTAAGTCTATGTCTGTGAGTGTGTATTACCTGGAATAATTGCCTTCCCCCCCCCCCCTTTTTTTTTTTTTTGTAAAAGACAAAATTCCCAGTAAACGAATGAAGTGATACTTGAAGATTTTACATTTCTCTGGGGATGGTGAAAAGCTGTTGGTGATCAATCTGCTGTCTATGCACATATGTTGAAGTCATCTACTGAAAGCCTTGGAAACAAAGCCTTATACCGATGTAGTTTGTTCTCTGGAATATATTGCTACCCAGTTTTATTACTTAACTATAAGTGAATGAAAATATTTTAATGAATCAAAGCATTTGTGTAGTAATTTGAAAATATACTTCTAAAATCTATCCCAAGTTTTGTCACAACCCTATTTGGATGTTCTTCAATGAAGGCAGCAGGAAGCAAAAGTTCTGTTGTGCATTGAAGAGATGTAAATATGTACAATGTGGCAATTGTTTTGAACCAGGAGTGTTCACCTCCATGTTTTGATATCTTTTGTCCAGGGTGACGGAAACCAAAAACAAATGATCAAAGATAAAAAAAGGCAGAAGAGTAACAACCAGCCAACACTTTGTGAGGTAGACAAAGAAGAAGTAATGAAACAGGCCCTTTTGGAACAGGTAACTGTAGTGCAATATGTGCACGTAGCGCAGCAGTTGAAGACTTAGTAGTTTCTAACTCAGTATAACTGGAATGATCATTGCTTCAACTCAAAGGATTTTCCATGTGTTGTCCTGGTGGTTTCTACAGTGGTTATTCAATAAAGCAGTTCATTAGTTGGCCAATGATAATGTTAATTCTGTGCATGTCCACTGTTTAAATTTAGTGGTTTATTTTATTGTAAGTAAGAGGGGAATGGGCTTAACCGTCCAGTTCTAATAACAGAATCCGTCCTCACAAAGGCACTCCAGGTACCTAAAGACTAAGGCTAAGGGCAAACAGGAAGACTCATAAGATCCAAGTGGTCTAACTACCAGTATAAGTCACAGGAGAATCAGGATACTCTTAGCTGATGGCCTTTTAGATATGGCAGCTTGCTTATTATTGCCACACTTTGTCACTGTTTGCACACTGTTTGAAGATAGGCTATTAGAATATACAGCTAGGTATCAAATCAAACTAAGCTCAGCCTTATGTGGACAACATGAATATCTGTTTAATTCTGTGACAGTTGTCATGTGTGATATGAAGTAAGTTTGTTTTAAAAGAAACCATCTTTTAAACGTATGCTTCACTATGCAGTAGTAACGTGGTTGGTAGGTACGGGGGGATGTCTACCACTAGATTCTGAGATATGATTAGAAATTATATGCTTTGCATGCCAGCCCCAGCATTGCTGAACACTAAAGCAGATTTTCCTTTAGGTCAGGTACTTCCCATAAAGTTTTGAATGGCAGTGCCATGCAATAGTGTCATGGCCATGATGTTCTGGGAGGTGCCAAAGCCTTGTTACTGTATTGAGGTACAGCAATGGGTGTTTTTTCTGTTCTGTCTAAGCCTCTAATGCACTTTCCTTTCAGGAACTCAAACCTTGTGAAGTTTCTTTTCTCTTATTTTTTCCCTCTTCTTTCCATTGTCTTTATACATATACAGTATGTGCAATATATACAATATGTTGCCCTGACTAAATGGTAATATATATGATGTATCAACATTCACTGGATAATTGACGTACCTCTGTTACCAGGGGCCCCAAGAAACAGAGAAAAAGAAAACATTACACAATAAACCGCACACTGTAAATGGGATTTGCAGTTTACTGGGGCTTGAACCATGGAAATTCCCCTGCTGTGGCTATGGCAGAGTAGATAAGGAAGTGCTCCTCGGGGACGGATGGGACGAGTTCTTGCTGAACCAAACTACAATCAACATCGCCACCTGCTGGGGCTCATCTTAACTTGGCATCTTTGCTGTAGTTACATTACAAGCACGTTGCAAGATACAGGACATTGCTGGCTACATATTTATTGTCAGTGCATGACCTATTAGTACATTAGCACTTTAAATGAATGCATAACAAAGGCTCCAATTCTTGTGTTCTTTATGGCGTTACAGTTAAGAACACAGGATCAAGTGGGGAAAAAAATGAAAGGAAATACTAGCAAATTAAACCTGTTCTCCAGCCTCTAAACATCTCATCCCAGCTAACCAGTATTGGCTTGTTACATTTCCATTTGCAGCATATTATCTTTCTGTAAGGTATTCTGTATAATGGCTTTCTGCTGCATCAAATGAAAAATAATCAGGCCTTTATCTAAAGCACCTTAATAATGCACGTTCCTAGCGTAGCCGGTGTTCCAAATCCCAGCAGGTGTTTGGCTAGCATGGAAGTTGTATTAAATATTGTTCCTGAGAAGCCCAAAGAATCCTGGAGGAAGTAGGTGTTTTTGATATGCATTTTGTTGCAATAAGGCAATCTTAAATATATCAAAGATCTTTAACTTTTTTTTCTCCTTCTTTCATTTAAAGACACTGGAATGCAAGTAGTGTAACTAGAATCAGCTATTCAAATAGCTTTTTAAAGGACTTTTATTTTTTTTGAGTCATGATTTTTTCATACACTCCAAAAAGAGCCTAAACTGAAACCTCTTTGATTTTTTTCTTTTTTCCTGGGTTTTATCTGTCACCTCAGAAGTATGATTGCAGCTGCTTTATTCTTTCTAAGGGTGTACTTGGTAGCTGTGTTGGTCAGAGACAAAAAGATTTACAAAAAAACTAGAACTCTTGGTTCCAAAATGATACTTTTTATTAGACCAACTGGAAAATGGCAAGAAAATTGTCCTTTTCTGCCATTTTCCAGTTGGTCTAATAAAAGGTATTGTTTTGGAACCAAGGTTCTAGTTTTTTGTATGTTATTCTTTCTAAGGCTTTGTACAGAGCATTTCTGTAAAGCTGATGTATGACAAGAAACAGCAGTGCACTCTGGTTGCAGGTTCTTTGTTGTGAGTGCTACATAAAAACAGTGCTTGAATGAGTGGGCATTGTATCAGAATGTAGCCACAGCTCTGTGTGCTCTGTGGCCTATAACCATGGTTTCGCTGGCAAGGAGGTGGTGGTGAAATGTGAAGTTAACCAACACGATAGAATTATCTGCTTTCAGACTAGCACGTATGTCTCTCTACTGGAAAATTTTCAGTTTTCTACAGCTACTTTATGAATAGCTTTTGTATATTTTAAATAAAATCTAAGCTCCATTGGGTCTGTCCCAGGCAATTCAAATCTTAAATGAGTTTTTTTCTTTCTCTTTCCAGAATCCGCCCCCCCCCCCCCCCCCCCCCCATTGTTTACAAAGGAGGGTTGGTTGTGACTGAGTGGGCCTAATTTTGCTTTAGGGGCAAAATTCTTTGCTTACTTCTGCCTTGGATTGCACAGGACATCACTGCAGACTTTGGAAGAGCCCTGTGTCTACTGCAGGGGATGGTACTGCAGGCTTAACCACTGGGTGGATGAAAGCAACATGTTCTTCTGCTCCCTCCCCCATGCAAATGCTTTACTTTTTCACTGATATATCACTCGACACAGTCACAAGTATCAAAGATTCTCACAGATGATACCTCCTATTATTTCTTCAAGAGCAACTCAAGATGCTCCTACTTTACATTCCCATGTTCTCCTGCTGTGAGGGTTAGGAGTCCTACTTTCCCATGTACTCCCTGCCTGTATTTAGAATTCAAGTCAAATGAGTACCTCTGGTTAGAAATTTTTTTCCATAGTTAATTTTCCCATTGGGAAAATGCCCAATTTGGTCAAAAATGAAACATGTTGTCAAAGTGAAATATTTGGTCAAAAATGAAACTTGCCACAAATTTCAATCGTTCCTGTTTTGAAACAAAAATTTAAAAAATGTTTCACAAAGGTTGAAATGTTTCATTTTACCTGCTTGTGGAGGGGAGGGAGGAATTTTTCTGATTTTCTATTTCAAAATGATTTGTATCAGTTTTTAATACTAAAAATACACTATAAAAGTCAAAATTAGAATGAAGCACTTTTGTCAGAACTGTATGCTTTTATCTTCAATGGGGGGGTTCATTTTTTTTCAGAATTTCATATCATAGGTGATTTCAAAGTGTTTTGGGTTCTGTTCTAGAATGGGGGAAAATGAAATAGAAACACAAACAACTCCCTGAAATTTAAAAAAAAAAAAATGATTCTCAGTCAGTTCTTGGAATAGGCCTACATTTTGAATAGGAAAGTCTACCTGAGACTAAGAAATAGAGACTGGTTAGGGGGGAAATGGACCTTATATTAAAAATAAATAATAATCCCAAACTTAATATGGCTATATTTTTTCAGCGTCATCATGAAACGTACAAGAATCTCCAGAAGCTGAAAAATGCCATGTATGTGCACCATAAAGATTTACTGAATAAGAAAGTTCAAAAGCAGCAAATTCAGATCCAAATGTCTGATCTCAGGTTCAAGCAAATTCTTGAACACCAAGGAAGAAAAAAGGTAGGAATTTTATATGGGGAGGAGAAAGGGAATTTGTGTACTCAAAGTATAGACTGGGAAATGTTGGTAAGAATGGAAGACTTGAATGGAAACCTTGTTTTGCTTTCTTTTTGAATTTGAGAGTTGTTTCAGTGTTTGCAAAAATCTTGCACACTTGCATGAGATTTAACTAACTGTACATCCCTGTTCCTATTGAAGGATTGGCAGTTTGGTTGATTGATAGCTTGTAAAATATGGTCATTTCCAACCAAAGGACTTTCTGCAGGCAGAAAAATGGCTAAAAGCCTGACTCTGTTGCTTAAGTTTTTCCAGGCTAAGATTAAAAATGCTCTCGTCTGAGTCACTAAAAAACTGATAACAAGTGATATAATCAGGAGATGTGCTTCCTTGTACAGAGTAGGGTAATTATGTCAAACTCATGAAAGTACTAGGATGCATCCCCAGTGGACCTGGCTTTTCATGGCAGTTTTGCAGGTTGCTAGCAGGGATATTTAATTTCCTACCAATATCTAAAATCTGTCCCTTTGATAATTCATTTGTATCTGTCAAGGCTTCCATCTCCAGAAGGGGTTGTCCTTTCTCTTCCAGTTTACAATATCTGGTCTCACATGCTATAGGAGAACAAGGAGACCATTATTTGGTTCAGAAATGGGGATTTTGCAATGGCTGAATTAATAAAAAGAATTTTATTTGTAAAAATAATCTAGTCTAATCTAAGAGCAGAACTTTATGATACACGTTTTCTTCATTTCTCATGCCTGGCCAGTTTTCCATTCAGCTGACTAGTCAGAGCAACAGGGAGAACTCTGGAGGGAGTAAGGAAGGTACAGGTTCAGCATAGACAGCCTTATTTTGGTGCCTTATATTTTGCAATAAAGAGTTTTAAAAACGCATCACAGCTTTGAGGCAGAGAAGGCGGCTGGCAGGCAAATGGTGAGAATACACAGAAGTGACTCGTGATCAGTAGTTACTGGTAAGTAACTTCTCTTTTTCTAAGGATATTGAACGCAAAGTGGACTATATATGAGACAATAAAATGTGTTTTTCTGTTTATCATGCAATAATTAATTACATCATCAAACCATGTTTTCCTTACCTAATATACTTGTGAAGGCTGCAGCATACAAACCAAAATTAAATTTTGGATCCCCTGTTTAAATCTTAGTGAAATTACAAATATCTCCCTAAATGAATTAGAGCTTCTCAGAATTCTTGTATTATGGTGTTGTGTTCTCCGATAAGAATGACTAACTGCAATTGCATAAGCATGCACATTTTACTGGTATCTTCTCTATGTTCTTTAAATGCCTACACTGTTAACACCAGTGAACATCATAATAGTACTACCGAGTGAAGCTCACCATCATTCATTTTCAAAAATCTTTTAGAATTTTTTAAATAAGTAGACTGAATGTAGCCCTTTTAACATTTGCAAACCCAAATGTTTCACAACAAGACGTTCAGTATTAGTACTGCTCTTCTCTGGAAGCTGCAAATGTTGCACCTGCTATTTCAATATCAGCTGCTCTATCCACCTTGCTAAAGGGACCTTTCTAGATTTCTCATGGGTGCCCTTATTTCCTCAAACCAACTGGTTTCCACAAGATGGCTTCATGTGGGACTTTGTGCCTTAACATCTGTATATATTTGTTTCACCTATTCCAGTATTTCCTTCTGATTCTGTTGTAGAAGAGCAACTGGTTGGTAAGGGACACTGAATCTTTTGGACTAACACATACACATTTTGCACTGGCCTAGCTCCTTTGCAGTTTGTATGAATATTGGGCCCTCAGTGTTTTTGGGAATCAAGCCCTATATGTAGTTGACTAAGGCCCTTTATGTAAGTGACTAAGTAGCAATGAAACTGTTCAACTTATGCAAAGGAAAAGTCTGAACTGCTTGGGCAGCTATCTTTCCTCGTTGTAAGCTACAGTCCACAAATACAGTAGAGCCCAAAATTACATCTCTTCCCAGGGTTTGATTTTGTTTATAAACCTCTGTGTTTTATAATGAAGTCTAGCTCAGTCCTTCTTCTCAAGTTTGACTGTTCTATGGTTTCTTCTCAGATCTGCTTAGTTCACACCTTGGATACTTCTCCAAAGACTGACTTCCACCTTCCTTATGAATAATTGAGATAACAGAAACTGCTTAGTTACTTGCCCCATACAATCAATATATGATAACAAGCTGCGATATTGCAAGCAATTACTGCCAGCTTTACACATAACTTGGGTTTTTTTTATTGATGTACAACATTCAATTAAAAGTCTGGGGATATAGCTTATTGTGGACTTGACTCTTATTCTCTTGTTTATTTTTTACATTAGAAATTCTGTTCATATGTCACTTTTCTTAGAAGACCTAACAGAGATCTGGAGCATTAGTCAGTGGCTTTGTATCCAGTTGTATCAACTAGAGAATTTCCCTTTTGAGAATTAATGTAAATCTCCTTTTGAAGAAGCGGCCAAAAAAATTGAAACTGGGTAATAAAGCATTCTGGACCTTGGTGATTCACTAGAGGTTAAATGGAAAGAAATGTAGAGAGAGCATTTCTGGATGATGCTTCATCCTACATTGACAGATAAAGCTGAGGACTCTAATATGTGCAACTGTTTTGGATTTTGACCTCAGGATCAATTAGCTGTGCAATTCATGTTGGTACAAGCTGACTTTACTTATGTTAATAAATGGGACTTTTTATATGAGTAAAGGACCTACAGTCTAGCATGTTTCACATAGTGACACATACAACAATGTGAAAATGGGCTCTAATTGTGTACTGGTCCCCATAAGGTTCTCTGGGAAAAAATTGTGGTTTTTGTAAGGTGTCTATAGGGTTTATAACACAACAAAGTCATGAGTTATGACTGGTGTCCCCCGGCCGCATTTCAATAATAAAAAATAATAATCATTTTCAGGGTACCTGAATTGTCTTACCAGCAGGATGCAGGTGAAATTGGGAAATGCAAGAGACAAGATTTTGCTAGGAAATACAGTATTTCACTGCTGTTTGTGATCATGCAGCATTATGATGCACAGGGTTCTTAGTAGTTTGGAGTTAAAACAATTGGACAGCAATAAGTCTGCCTCTTTAATTGTTTAAAGAGGTCATTAGCCTGAAGTTGACTAATTGTATGATCACAAGCTGCACTAGGTGGCGCTTATATTATGTTTGATTGCTGTTACCAACAGGATAAAAAACTGTAAAACCAAAGAGGTTTGAGGTTTTTTGATGCAAAGTTCAAAGTAAGAGGGAAATCAACATGTTTTAGTTGAAAATCTTTTGCTTGGTCAAATCAGTTTTGGGGGAAAATATTTCAGCCAATCCTACAATGAAGTCCTGAGGTGGATGAGGAGACAGGGAGGAAGAGAATCGTGTACTTCCCTTGGGTATTAGAGGCAGTTTCAGAACATTTAATCCTTATTTTAAACGCAGAATAAATTTTAAATTTATTTAAATGCCAGCCGCAGACAATCTGGAAACCAGGTTGGTTTTTAATACGCACATCCAGGTTTTTTTTTTTTTTTTTGTTCCTTGCTGCTTCATACATGTCAAACGATGCTGAAGTTTGTTCACATTTTCCATCACGCTATTCTTTTATTATGTCTTATTCTAAATAATGAAGTTTTATGGAATTCATTTTTGGTTGGCCTGGAAAGAGTTAGTTAATTTTATATTTCATTGCAAGATCTCTGAGCAGGGAGTTACACCAATCTTCTAAGATCCAGGTCAATATTTTTTTTACCTCTTCTCTTCCCCAGCCACCCCGGCTTTCTGTCATTTTTAAATGTATGCAACTTATCAAGCTTGAACAGGTTCTAGAGACCTTAAAAAAGGAAGAAAATATAAAAGTTTGAGATTTAAGGTGAAAATTCTGTTTTTTGTGAAACTTTATTTTAGGCAGTAAGAAAATAAATATCCTTTTCAAGATTTTTTTCTAATATACATTGTAAAGAACAATTACATTTGAAAAAAATCAGTACACTGTGTGCTTTCCTATGGAAGCTTCTACCAAATGGTTATGATCTTACTGAGGCCTACAAACTTTCTTTTAAAGTTCACCAACCTTTATCCATTGTTTTTAATATTTCAAACAAAGTAAGATGCTGTTTTCAAAGGACAACTTGCAGGATCACATGTTGCTAACCAGCCACCTTAACAACCCTAAGATATCTGCAAAGAAAAGAAAAACCAAGTTTATGAAGATGTATCACTAGCTGAATCCAGTTCACTGCTCTCCCTCCATAGCACCCACTCCTGCCACTGTCAGAGATGGTATCCTGGGCTAGGTGGACTAAACAAACACAAAGTGAGGTGCGTTTTTATACAACATATAATTAACTTTTGGGAAGGTAATTGTTACAGGAGACAGTGGAGGCTAATAGTATAACCAGATTAAAAAATAGATTAAACAAATTTATGCAAGGTAGATCCTTCTGGGGCTACTAAATACAGCTGTCAAGGATGTAACCTCAGGCTTAGGACTTCCGTTCCATGTATACTTTCTACAGGCATTTCCATAAAGGAGTCTTGCTCTACAACAGATGGTTTTGCTGGTGAGAGTGAAATTGAGGTTATCATTCACTCAAGGGTTATTTGTGTTAAATTATAGCTGCCTTGCCCTTCTTTGTTCTGCAAATACAACCACACAAATCAGATTTTTTCATATAACTCATACTTATTCTGAAAAAGAACATAATTATTGGTGAGACTTTTTTGAGGCCTGGTAAGATATTTCTTAAGGGCTTATCCTCAATGTTAAAACAGGAGTGTGTGTAAGTGTGTTTAGTTTAGTTACAAGTCTGAGCTATCCCATGTCTAAAATATAGGGCAACTAATATGCCTTGAATTCCCTATCACATAAACTTCCTGAGGTCAACTTCATGGCAGACTGTAGTGTTGACTTTCAGCATGTTTACCTTGTGGTAAAATGAAAGGAGGCATGGTGATCTGTGCCTTACCTGAGTCAAGCACTCAGCCTAGGAAGCAGAGCTCCACT